AAAGGCCTGTCATTGTGGATTGAGAGCTGCTACATGTTCCGAAGCAGCAAGCATTCCAGTATAGAGACATGTGTTCAAAATAAACAAACACAAAAATGTGTTAGATACAGAAAGTATTATTTTGTGCTTAACTTTGCTTTTATGAGTTGTTGAAGGGCTGATAATGCCTACTATTTATCGAGCATCTGCCATGTGCCAAGCACTGTGCTATACTTTAGTCATGATCTCAGTTTTTAAAGCAATCTAACGAGGTGAATATCCCATTTTATAGAGGAGACTGAGGCTCAAAGATCAAATCTAAGACCACAGAGCTATCCTAAAGCTTAGACCTGTTGTCAAAATGCCTATTCTTTCTATTGTCATTCTAACAACTCTTGAGATTTCGCTATTGAAAACAATCAAAATATTTCTGAAGATAAAAATATACAATTGTTTATATTTACCCACATATTTGCTATTTCCAGGACTCTTCATTTCTTCCTATATTTCTGAGTTATTATCTATTGTAATTTTCCTTCAGACTAAAGATCTTCCTTTAGTATTTCTTGGGAGGCCAGTCTGCTAGCAACAATTTCTCTCAGTTTTTGTTTATCTGGAAAAGTCTTTTATTTAACTGTCATTTTTGAAAGATAGTCTCATTGGATATAGAATTCTAGGTTGGCAGGTTTTTTTTCCTTTCAACATATCTTTGGGCATTACCTTCTGGTCCACTTCTTCCTCTTCTTTTTATGAGAAGTCAGATCTCATTTTTATTGTTCGTCTCCTGTATGTAATGTTTCCCTTTTCTCAGCCTACTGCCATAATTTTCTCTTTATCCTTGGATTTCAACAGTGTTACCTTTCAACCTCAGAGATGATCTGTTAATGCTTCAAGACTGGAAGGATAAATGGGTGTCCCCAAGTGGCTGATATTGGGAGTGGCATTTCATTAGGGAGCAAAATGAGAAAAAAACAAGGAGGAGAAAAGGAACACGGGGAGTCTGGTAAACAGTAAGGCAGGAGCGAGAGCATGCTGAGAGCTAAGGCTTGCCAGGTGGGCATGGACCAGAGCAGGGAGGATTTGGGCATCATGCTTAGAATTTGGGCTGCACACTGCAGACAGTGGGGAACCACTGTCAGTGGGGAACCACCGATGGGCTTTAAGGAGAGGAGTAATGCAACCACATAGTTCTTTAAAGAGATCCCTCCAGCAGCAAAATAGTAGATGCACTTGAGAAGTCGTTCTTGAGGCTGGAAGGCCAGTCAGGAATTTGTGGCAATAGTACTTAGTAGCAGTGAAATGGGGAAGAGTATCTAGTTCTAGGGAGATGAGGACTACAGAATAAGTGGGATAAGCCACCGAACAATAGTGGGATGGATGACTTTTAGCTTCCTGCCTTGACACTTTGGAGGTGAAACTTTGTGGGTGAAAGATGATGAGTTTTGGGCCTGAGTTTTTCCTGTAGGACATTTAGGTAGTGGTATCCAGTAGGCAGTCAGCTCATGGGTCTAGAGCTCAATGGAGAAGTCCAGGTTGGAAATTTAGTTCAGAACTTCCATAGGATGGAAACTAAAGGCAAAGGGGTGCATAAGATTGCCAAGAGGCAGGGTGTAGAGTGAGAAGAGCAACACAGTAAGGTTACAAAGCACCAATAAGCCTAAATGTAAGTCAAATTCAGGGGAGCAGGAGCCTGTGAAGGAGGCTGGGAAAGTGTGCTGGGAGGAGGGGGAGGGCCAGGTGCAAGAAAGTCAGGGAAAGGAGAGTCAGATGCCTTACAGATGGGGGGCAAGGAGACTAAAGATATTCCATGAACATGAGATAAGCTGAGAGGAGACATGCCTGTGAATCTGGCATGTGAATTGCTGGTGGCCATGGCTGAACCTGTGCAAAACTGAGAAGCAGGCAAAACATTTCTTTTAGTTTAAAACCTTTTTTAGAATTCTAGCCTATTTCTACTCCCTTCTCCACTTTTGCTTCTTCCCCAGAAGCCTGGTGCTGTCCTATCCTCCCCATCAAAATTTATTTTCACACTGTGCATTTGGCTTTTAACTAACAGCCAGAGATGTTGCTCTTTCCTGGGGCATACATGTGTTACCAGTGATAAGAAAAAGGCTGAGAATTTCATGGTAGGATTTTATACTGATACTTCTCAGTGTAGAGTTTTTGAGTTGGAGAGAGGCTTAGATCTCTGATTCATTCCAACTGCTCTCAGGTCCATCAAATAAACATTGAGAGTTAATTACATAAACTAGTCACCAGGCACTGTGCTAGGTGCCAGCGGTACATCTACAAATGAGCCACAAGCACCCGGGGTTGGGTGGCTTTATGGCTGGTGGAGGAAACAGGCACTTCCTCAGATTATTTCACTTCAAAGACTTGTCCAAGGCAGGGAGGTTATAGAAAGCTTCCTGGAAAAGGTGATACCTGAACAGAACCTTGAAGGATAACTAGGTGAAGAAGGAGTAGAGGTTGGGGAAGAATGTTCCAGGCAGGAGGAACAGCATCATATATGGAGGGAATGGCAGGCGATTTAATTTTCTGGACTATAAAGAATATGAAGACTGCAAGAGATGGGGAGGGCCCTGGATGCTGTGCCTAGGAGCTTTCATCTTTCCTGCAAATCAGTGACTCTCATGTGAAGCATGAAGGTGAGGAAGAGATCCAGAATGGTTTTCAGCTTCCTGGCTCGGGGACCTGAGTGGATGGTGACACCATTCACTAAAACGGGAACTGTTAGCTGAGGAGCAAGTTGGTGGGGTGGGGGCGAGGTACTTGCAGAAGTGGATGTATCCAGTAGCAAATAATGAGTTGTTAATAAGTTTAAGGGGAGAGGTCTAGGCTGGAGACAGAGGCAGAGAATCAGTGATTCAGGCAATGCCAAAGCTGGGTGCAGTGGGAGCTAGGCCTGGTCAAGGACGGAGCAGGGCGAGGGCTGAGGGCTGAGGCTCTGGAACCTGCCTGCCTGATTTAAATCTCTCGTCTACCACTTACTTAATAACCTTGGACAGGTTAAATAATCTGAGCCTCAGGGTCCTCATTTATAAAATGGGTCATATAGCTTCCTACTGCTACTATGACAAATCGCCACAAGTTTAGCAGCTTAAAACAACACAAATTTTTTATGTACAGTTCTGGATATCTGAAGTCCAAAAACAGGTCTTAAAGGGCTAAGGTCACATGTCGGCAAGACTGCATTCCCTCTGGAGGCAGCAGGACAGCACCTGTTCTTTGCATTTCCAGCCTTTAACGGCTGTCTGCCTTCCTTGGATCATGGCCCCCTTTCAGCCATGGCATCGTTCCGCCTCTGCTTTTCTGTCCTCACAGCCCCTTCTCCCTTACACCTGCTTCCCCCAGGTGGATCCAATGTACTTGTGATTACACTGGGCCCACCTGGATAGCCCAGGACGCCAACCCCAAGATCCTTAACTTGGTCACATCTGCATTATGTCTTCGTCATGTAAGGTAACATACTAATAGATTCCAGGGATTAGGACATGGACATCTTTGAGGGTACCACTATTCTCCCTATCACATGGGATAATAAGTACTGCATACTGTGGCTATGAAGGTTATGTGAGATAACTATGTAAAAGTACCTGGCACATAGGAAGCACCATGTTCTTATATTTAATAAATATTTGTTGCAGCCAGCAAGACAGACATTAGGCAAAGACCTTGCTCTCAAGCAGCTCACATTCTTGATGCAGGGATCAGAAAAGCAGCAACTAAAATACATAGGTAGTAAGGCAGGTGCTGAGGTGTACGGGGAAAGGGCTGGGGTAGAGAGCTCTTATATAAAGGGGGGCCCAAAGAGGGCCTCGCTGAGGAACTTGAGCACAGACCTAAAGACAATGAAAGAGTGACCCATGGAGATGTCTAGGGGCAGAGCTGGCTTGTGGCTGGAGTGAAGGGAGCAGGGGGTGAGTGGTCGCGAGCAAAGGGAGATGGGGATGTGGGGAGTAGATGATTCAGGGCCTTGGAGGTAGTTTGGATTTTATATTGAAATGGGCAAAGAGTGATATGAACTGACACATTTTAAAAGAATCATTCTGGATGCTGAGTGGACGAAACAGGGAGCAAGGAGGCCACTGTACTCATCCAAGTGCAACACATGGTGGCCTGGATCCGATGGCAGCAGGGGGATACTAAGAAATGAGCAGGGTGGGTATAATTAAAAGGTGTCAGGATTTACTGATGGGATTGGATGTAAAATGTGAAATAGAAGAGCCAAGAATGATCTGACTCCAATGTATTTTTTTTGAAATTGGCCTTTGCTCAAATAGGGAAGTGCATGGGAATTTGTTTTTGGTTGTGTTAAATTTGCTTGCCTATGTAGCAACTCAGTGTAGATGTTAAGTAGGCGGTTTGAGTCTGAGTCAAGAAGGGAGGTATGGCCAGGAGACATGAGATGTAGTGAAGGGAAGGTACTTCAGAAGTCTTAGCCATGGGGGCTCCAATGTTTAGAGATTAGGAGGATGAGAAGAAACCAGAAAAGGAGACTGAGAAGGAGCAGTCAGTGAGGAAGCAAAAATAAGAATGAAGTCTTGGAAACTGAGTGAAGAATAGTTTAAAGAGACAGTGATCATGTCAAATGCTCATAAGTATTATTATTTTTACTACTAATTCACCACAGTGTATTCTACCTATTTGGAGGAAATCTTTTTTTTTTTTTTTGAGACAGAGTCTTGCTCTGTTGCCTGGGTTAGAGTGCCGTGCATCAGCCTAGCTCACAGCAACCTTAAACTCCTGGGCTGAAGCCATCCTCCTCCCTCAGCCTTCCGAGTAGCTGGGACTACAGGCACACACCACCTCGCTGGCTAATTTTTTTATTTTCAGTAGAGACCGGGTCTTGCTCTTGCTCAGGCTGGTCTCCAACTCCTGAGCTCAAGCAATCCTCCCGCCTCGCCTCCCAGAGTGCTAGAGCCACCTTGCCAAGCCTGGGGGAAATCTTCTATTCCTATAATACCTCTGAAATTAGTTTGAGGAACCATTTCTAACAACACCTTTATTATCGAATGAAGTTCTGCTGCAGGGCACAGGGCGCTGGGTCTTTAGACGGGACACCTGAAGGAAGGCCCGGAGAAGCATCGGAAGTGCAGCAGCGTAAACAGTTTTGTCACTGGCCTTGCAAATGTCCTTATCAGAAACCCAGTTGTCCTCCTGGAGTGAGCTTCGTGAGGGACGGCTGTGGATGCTGTAGAATCTGTGCCAAGCAACCAGGGGATGTCTGCAACGAAGCCGACCTCTGTGACCCACACAAAGGGCTGTATTGTGACTACTCAGCAGACAGTCCTAGGTATGAGACTGGAGTGTGCGCATGTAAGTGTCTCCTTCTGGACCTGTTGGAAAAGGCTGAGTCTAGGCAGAATTTTTTTTCCCCCAGCAATTGTTAACTTGGAGTGTTCAGCTTACTGTGGTTAAATATGAGGTGGGTTTAGTTTCACACACCAGGGGATTGGCTCCATTGTGTTGGACACCATGTGAAATTAGCAGATGCTTACTCACATTCATAAACCTATTGTTTTCATTGCATTGAGGTGATCTTGCAGTTCTTCTCAGTAATTGCTTTTAATGATAGAAAATAGGAGAAATGATCTAAACAGAGTCTGATGTCTAAAAGTGCCACAAAATGACAGCTTTTGTTAATACTGTCAAAAACAATATGAATTCAGCCATTTCTGTAACTGAAAAATAATCCTGCTTAAAAATATAAGGCTGTATGACTAGCATTCAGACATACTACTTTAACCTTACCCTCCCAACTAACGATCAAGTTGCTGTGCTTTTTACTGCAGCAGATTTGTAACAAAGAAGGTGAGGTCACCCCAAACCACAGCCTGACCCTCAGCTTTATGGTTCTAAACTCTAGAGATGGAGTCAAACTATCTAAGCCTACAACACACTGTTAGTCAGGATGCCAAATTGTTTAGGATAAAAAGCAAAACATCTAAGGGAAGAGAAATACTCTTGTCACCTGGGCAGTTTAGTCTCTCTGCAGAAAAGTCTTAAATGGGAAGGCAAATTCCTACCAGAAGTTTGAGCACGGCATGAAGGAAAGATAGGCTCTAGCTTCAGAGTCGGACTGAATGTATAGAGCTGTTCAAGTTTGATAACTTGATCCCCCGTCAGCATTATATCGTATTGGGAAAGAATATGAGATCTGGGTTCAAATCCTGATTGCTCCTCTGAGAAACCTTGATCAAGTTGTTTAATCTCTCTGTGTCTCAGTTACATCATATGTTTGTCCTGGCTTATAGAGTTCCTGGAAGGGTCAAATTAAATAATGACATAAAACCTAAAACCCCCAGCACAATATGCAGTAGGCTTTCAAAAATGATTTTTATTTGTGGGAATTCTACGGGGAAAGCAAGACTCTGGCTTTCAGGACACCCCTGTCTCTCAAACTGGGCAGATTATTTCATTAACCTCACACACACTTAGTGAGCGTTCACTATGGAGCTGGGCACTGTGGCCAGCAATCGGGGATACAACAGGGAAGAAAAGATACAGAGTCTGTGTCTGCCCTTACAGAATCAAAGTGTATTATGTCAGACAGAGCTCTCCACAAGTGACTGCACACAAAATGTGATGTGACTTTTAAGAGAGCACAGCCATGAGGATGGGGATTGGGGATAATCTATATCTGGAGTCACAAACTATGGCCTGGGTGTCTAATTTGGCCCACAGCCTGTTTTTGTAAATAACATTTTATTAGAACATGGCTAATTCATTTACATGGAGTCTGGCTGCTTTCCAATGGCAGGGTCAATTTCAATAGACTCTGTCCTGCAAAAAGCTAAAATATTTACTACTTGGCCCTTTATAGAAAATTTACCAATCCCTGATCTAGAATATTTAAAAAATTTTTTTGTCCCATGAGGACCTCTTTATAATCTTAGAAATTCACAAGGACCCAAGAGCTTTTACATGGGTTTTATCTATGGATATTTAATAATGAATTAGAAATTTAAAAATATTTATTAATTCATTTAAAAATAAACCCATTGCAAATATTTTTTATGAAAAAACTTATTTTCCAAAACAAAAATGTTTAGTGAAAATAGTGACATTGTTTTACATTTTTGCGAATCTCTCTAGTGTCTAGCTCAGTAGAAGATAGCTAGATTCACACATCTGCTTCTGCTTTCAATCTATTGCTGTTTTTCTGGTTAAAATATATGAAGAAAATGTGGCTTCACACAGCTATGTAATTGGAAAGGGAATATTTTAACAGGCTTTTCAGATAATTGCGAATATACTTTTTTGATATTATATTAAAACTTGACAAGTGGTCGTTTTTTAAAATTACCTGCATCGTGGAATCTGAAACCACATCAATAAACTTTGAACTCTGTGACATTGAAAATACATTGGTCTACCCAAGACTCACTTGGAATGAGTCTTTTACTCATGCATAATTTTGTCATTCAATGCTTTATTTGGAAAATATCAGTTCACTGTGTTTTAGATGTTCAAAATGTTGATATACTTAATTATGAGATATTTTTAAAAATCACATGAATTAATATCACTCGCATCAGAAAAGTCTACATATTGAGTAGCTATAAAGATTGGGTAGATACAAGTTTTCCAAAATTCTAATTTTTGCTTGAAGGCTTAAATTCTATCATCGGCAACAAATATTGTCAGTTGTTTTCTCTGAAGTAACAGGTTTACTTTGTTTGTTTTCAGGAAAATGTTTCCAAAATACCCAAGTTTGAATAACCATAGTTTATCGTCAGTCATTTAAGTAAAATTCTCAATAAAAAAGTTGCTAGTTCAGCTCACAATTTGAACAATGGCATACATAGTTCCTTAAGTTTCTTTAAGATAGCTATTGTACTTTGGTACATAGACTTTTCCATATATACTTTCTATTTTGTCATACAGAATATTAAAAGGACATATTTGATACTTAAGATTTAATAAAATTAATAAGTTTTATTATGCCATCAAGGACATTTTTAGGCAAAATTAGCCTTTGTTTCTTTTAGGGACATGGCAAGGAAAAATACAATGACTATCTCTACAGTTTGATTTATGCTAAGGCCCAGCAGTTTTAGCTGCCTTTACTTTTGTACTACAGTGCAAATATCAACACAGTAAAATATCAACCACACTGGTATTTTGAAGAGTTTTGACCTTGATCTCCCAAAGGCCTCTCAGGTACTACCAAGGCATTGGTGGACCATACTTGGAGAAGGGCTGATCCCGAAGGTCAAGAATACTCCTTAAAAGAAATGAAAGTCTCCTCCAATTCTCTTAACAGAAAAATCAGTTACTTTGCAGTACTGTAGTTAAATAAATTATGGTTTCTTCAGACATTCACTTATCCTGTCTTCCTAAGAATGTATCCTAGCCTATTGTTGGATGTCTGGGGAAAACTGTCTCATGAGGCATCAACCCATCTCTCAGATTTATAATCGACTGCTATAGTTATGGTGATTTTTAAATTAATTTTACTCCAGAATAGGACCTTTACTTGGTCTTAATTTTGTAAATGACCATTTGAAGTTTATAGCCTACAATTAATGAAAATGCCTCATTTTAACCTTTCTACAGATGTTTTGTGATGGAGGTTCCAAATGGGGCCCAAGAAGTTGAGAACTATATTCATAAAGGAGATAGCTATTTCTTCTAAGGTATATAATTGGAGGTCTAGACTATTACAAGTTATGGCTTCTTTGGCAATTTTGCTCTTTTCTCTTTTCAGACCTTGTAGCTGTTGGATGTGAGTTCAACAGGGTACATTATCATAATGGCCAAGTGTTTCAGCCCAATCCCCTGTTCAGCTGCCTCTGTGTGAGTGGGGCCATCGGCTGCACACCTCTGTTCATACCAACGCTGGCTGACAGGCACTGCTCTGGAGCTAAAGGGGGAAAGAAGTCTGATCAGTCTAACTGTGGCCTGGAACCATTACGACGGCAGCTTTCAACAAGCTACAAAACAATGCCAGGTGCTCATAAGCAGAGCTATTTTTCATGTATGACTTTGGTGGTTTTCTTTCATGTTCCTTTAATGTACCATAGGTACTAAGTACTTATTGATTGGTAGTCGGAGTGAAATTTAATTATTTGGGTGTAGCATCTTATTCAGTCTTTGCCTTAGGCAGGTGTAAGTACCTGAAAAGGAAACTTTATAATGTTTTAGATTTTTCTGGTAAAATATTTTAAAATATTTTCAAAAGATTTACTAGGTCAGGAAACTCTTCTAAAATCTTATACTTCTGCTTATTCCCAACCTCTTCTCAGGGAAATTGACCAAATATAGGTACCCTAGAGAAACTTTTATTTGTATTTGTTCTGTTATGGGCAAGAAGCTTGACCATTTAGTTCCCAAAATTTTCAAAGGCAACCTTCCTATATGGTACAAGCAGAAATGGAAGTCACCTGATGAAAAATATTTAAGGACTGACACATGCTTTGAAATTGTAAATATTATTTCTAAAAATCGAAAACTGATATAAAGTCCCCTCATTCACTCTGAAATAGAAGCTCAACAATTACTAATCTCCTCTCTCTCTAAACACACACACACACACACACACACACACACACGCACTTTTAAGTTAAGTTACCCACATATGTATGTAGCAAGAAAAATCAAATGCAATTCTTTATTAATACTCTTAAGCACCTGGCCATTTGCTGCTAGCTTAAATATATTCATAAACCTTGTATTCAGTTCTGCTCTAAATTAGCAACTTATTTAAGTACCAGGGTATTTTGGAGACAGGAGTTTTAAAAATACCAGCAAATGAAGCACAGAAAAGGAAGGTCTCAAAAGGGATAATATCGATGTCTGGTTCTTGCTCACATTTCTGTGTTCTCATCTAGAAATCAAGAATGCTTTTTTATTGAAGTTTAGAGCTTAGTGAAAGGTGCCATGGAAATACAGAATATTTGTATAAGTTCCCTTTTATTATGTGGATATTTAATAAAAGCAACTATAATCAGAGAAATGAGTTTTCGATATTTAAAAACTAACTATGAAAAGAACAAACTTAAGGACTCTGTATCAGTTAATCAGAAAAAAATTGACCAACTCGTGAATTTGTATTTATCATACACAGTTATTCAGCTGACAGCATGACTCTACTAATGCTCTAAAACCTCTGAAATTATAAGCCAAATTGTTCTCTTGTCAACATGTACCAAACATTTGGCTTTCTGCATCGGATCTTAGTGACTCAATATAGGGCTCTTCTTAGAACCCATGCGTGAACTTTGCTGGAGAGACTACCTTAGAGCAGTTTTTCATAAGTAAAGCTCTTTGGATAAGTTTAAGTTGGTTTCATTTGTGAAGTTAGAGCACTTTCAGTGGATTTGCTTGAAGCCTGGTTGAAGAAGGGATCAGATGGTCAGCCTTAGTAGTTAGCGCTTTGCTACATAAAATCAAAAAAATCTCTCTAAGTACTCTCTGGTATTTGAGATTTAGGACTAGATATGTTTCAAAGGAAGTATATGTTCAGTCTAATGTCTCTCCTCTGCTTAACTGTGAAACTGCATTTATGTCTCACACAGGAATTTGGCTTTAAAAATTAACCATGACAGAAAAACACACACTTTAAGATACATTTGTGATAATAACTTACATGGTCTATGGTTGGAATCTAGCTTTTTTTTTTGTTTTTGAGACAGAGTCTTGCTCTTTTGCCCTGGCTAGAGTGGTGTGGCGTCAGTCTACCTCACAGTAACCTCAAACTCCTGGGCTCAAGCAATCCTTTTACCTCAGCCTCCCGAGTAGCTGGGACTACACGCATGTGCCACCATGCCCGGCTGATTTTTTCTATATATTTTTAGCTGTCTGGCTAATTTCTTTCTATTTTTAGTAGAGATGGGGTCTCGCTCTTGCTCAGGCTGGTCTCGAACTCCTGATCTTGAGCAATTCTCCTGCCTCAGCCTCCCAGAGTGCTAGGATTACAGGTGTGAGCCACCATGCCCAGACGGAATCTAGCTTTTGCTGGATCAGTATGAAGCATGCAATGACATAATGCCCTCATGCTTTTCTCAATGCTCACCAAACACTAAGCTTTTTGCTTAAAAAATCTCTTCCAGTTTTCTTACTTTTAAATGACTGTTTAATTCCTGAACTGCAGCTCATACTTTAACAAGTGGGGTTACTGTTGATGCGGTAATCTATCCTACCTTTCTTTATTGCAGATGTGTGCCAGGCTTCTAACCTGTTTCCTGCCTTGAGGTCTTTAAACTGTTGTCTACCTTCCAGGTATCTTCATGTTTCTGCTGCTTCTCCCTCAGTTCTATCTGCAGTCCCAAGCTCCTCCTGTAATAACATTGAAAGCAGTATCATACTATCATTCAAAAATAGCACATACTTTAAAGTGACTATTTCCTATGAAGAATTTTTTCTGGGTCTTTTTAGAGTTTTAAATTGATTTTTTGAAGGAAAATAGCCAGAATTTTCCTATGCAGACTCAAATCACAAACTTACTTCTAAGGCATCTATTTAAAAAGGCACATTAACCTTAAGGAAATACCTTGAGACAATAAACCACTATGTAGTTTGCTTAAAATGAACCAAGGGGCCTGATTCATTCATAACAAGAAGCCACCCAATGAATTTACACGGAGAGGGAAAAAATTTACACCCTCTTATAATCTATTTACCCTCTTCCTCTCCTGTTTCTCTGAAGCAGCAGATAGTGGAGGGGCTCTATCAATCCACCACTCACCTATCTATTCACAGATTCATTCATCCATTTGTCCCCTTTGTCTTTCTGTAAGCGATCTGAAATGGATAGCCACTTGGAGACTACCATGGGTCAATAACATAGGAAATGTGAAAAGTAAGCTGAATGAATAACACATTTGCAATGACTTAGTATATAATGATTATTTAGTTTAGTTCAGTGTAATACTACTTGAGCTTATAAGAGATTTTCTAAAAGACTAGATTAAAACACATGAAGGAAAACTGGTCTCATTGACAGTATAATTCTCAAGTCTTTTTGTATTTTAGATTTTAACATATGAAATTTAACAATAAGATCACACTATTCTGGTCGAATTCCCTAATCCTACTAATGTTTATCTCAATGTCTACTGGAAGTGAGGCAAGAACCAGGGAAAAGACAGATTATCAACTAGAATATAGCTTAGGTGTAGTATTCAGAGGATAGGCTAAGCAGAAAGATGCAAATGGGTAAATCAACTCAGTTTTTCAAAGATAAAGTATTTTTATTCCTCTTAAGAAACTGGACTGTAATACTTGGTTGGTTACGTGGAGAGTGGCAAAAGGGATATAGAATAAATTAGACAACAAGCTTCTTTTATTCTGAGATACATTATGTTAAAATAAAAATTCAGATCTCTTTAATATTAGCTTAAAAATAATTAAAAATTATCTATCATACAAGTATGTGTATAAATATGCATTTTCCCCTTATTTTAGCTTATAGAAACCTCCCACTTATTTGGAAAAGAAAATGTCTTGTGCAAGCAACAAAGTGGACTCCCTGTTCCAGAACATGTGGGATGGGAATATCTAATAGGGTAACAAATGAGAACAGCAACTGTGAAATGAGAAAAGAGAAAAGACTGTGTTATATTCAGCCTTGCGACAGGAATACATCAAAAACAGTAAAGGTAAAGTCTAGATTTAAGTTAATTGTAATTCGATCTTAAGAGATTCCTTAAAAGTATTAATATGTTTGTGTTTTGAAGAGAAGGTTGGTGTTCGGTTCTAAGAAACATAAAACTACCTCATTATAACTCTTAAAGTCAAACTATCTCAGAGGAAAACAGATAGTAATCTAACTGTACTTTGTGGGGAAAATTTTACCAAGCAGAGAGGTAATGTTAACCTGTTGATTCTAGACACTAACAACTGAATAATGTGGGTCTTGATCAGCCTGATTTGTTGTGGTAACCCTCCACGTATATTGTTAAGAGTAGATCCTTTTTAGATTCTAACTTATGTTTTCTATGTTAATTGTATGTGGTGAAATTAAAGCAACGAATAAGATTTTGGTCGCTATACCATAGTTATGAAAATAGATACTATGAAGATCAGAGAAGTTCTGATGTCAGTTATCTATCACCAACTTGAAAGGAGACCACACATTTCTAAATGTTCTGTGCATACATAGTAAACTAGCTAAAGGACTATGATAAAATATTTACTCTAAGATTGCTTGGTATAACTAGAGCTGGTCTTCTTTTTTTTTGAGACAGAGTCTCACTTTGTTGCCCAGGTGAGAGTGAGTGCTGTGGCGTCAGCCTAGCTCACAGCAACCTCAATTTCCTGGGGTCAAGGGATCCTACTGCCTCAGCCTCCCGAGTAGCTGGAACTACAGGCATGTGCCACCATGCCCGGCTAATTTTTTGTATATATATTTTTAGTTGGTTGATTAAATTTCTTTCTATTTTTGGTAGAGATGGGGTCTTGCTCAGGCTGGTTTTGGACTCCTGACCTCCTCGATCCGCCCGCCTTGGTCTCCCAGAGTGCTAGGATTACAGGTGTGAGCCACCACACCCGGCCTGGTCTTACTTCTTGAACTAGGCAAGACGTCTATCTCAAGAGTAATTTTTTGAAATGCTACAAAATCCATCTCATCCCTGAATTATTCCCTATCATATTAGCAAATTGACAACTCAATTTTAGAAGGATTAAGATATTTATTCATCTACCCCTCCCACCCAAAAGTGTCTAAGCTATGTTAGGGAATTTGCTAAGTCTTAGGTAAATAAACATTTAATAAGATAGGGCCCCTGATAGTAAACAAAACAGAAATTTCTATTTATTATGGAATTGAGGAAAAGATGCAAACACCACTGCGGAGTGGATGTAAAGACAGACCTCTGGTGAGAGGGTATCTGAAAGGGCAGAGAAGAGAGGGTGCTGGAAGTAACTATATAGAAATACATACTATTATTATTGCCCCAGAAATAATTAATCTGTATGTTTGTGCAATAAAATGTCATTTTTGGAAACTACTGTAATCCAATTTATGTATCTTTTCAGATCCCCAAAGGAAAAACATGCCAACCTACCTTCCAACTTTCCAAAGCTGAAAAGTTTATCTTTTCTGGATGCTCAAGTACTCAGAGTTACAAACCCACTTTCTGTGGAATATGCTTGGATAAGAGATGCTGCATTCCTAATAAGTCTAAAATGATTAACATTCAATTTGATTGCCCAAATGAAGGGTCATTCACATGGAAGATGCTGTGGATTATATCTTGCGTATGTCAGAGAAACTGCAGAGAACCTGGAGATATGTTTTCTGAGCTCAAGATTCTATAAAACCAAGCACATGGGGGAAAAGTCAATCATGTCACATAATAAAAGCATTAGAGTGCTTATAAAAGGGTGGCAAATCTACTGGTTTTAAAAAAATAAGAATGTTTAACTATTCTCAGATCATTGTATTTAAGGCATTAGGAGCTTTTCAAAAAGCTTTTTCAAATTATATATATATGATTATAGCCATTTACTACAAAATTTGGAAGGAGACATTAAGCTGAGTAATGTTCTGTTCACTTGCATAAATAGTGACATGCAAAATAACAAGCAGCACTGTTTAAAAGTATGGACATTTATTATAAAATCAATTGTTTAGATAAGAAAGCAATTATTTAAAAAATAATTTAATACAAATACATGTTAAATGTATAAATTATGATTCTTCTGAGTGCAAACAAGTTGTTACCTCTTTAACAGTTGTAATAAAAGCTATCCTGGAAAAGTCAGTGGATATCACATGGAAATATTTATGTGTTCTCCTACTCTCAGTACCCACTTTAAAGAATGAGGAGAATTTAAACAATATCAAAATATAAATTATAAATAAATATAAAAATACATCTGTATAAGATTTTTATTGAAAACATGATTATCAGTGTATATATATATATGCTTAAATATTAGGCTATAAATAAAGCAAAATATTGAAGAACTCCATTCTCTCAACTTTAGAAAAAGGAACTTTTCTGAAGACAAATGGTTGATATTAAGGTACTAAGACTTCACTAATTTCATACATTGGTATCATCAACAAATTGTGATTCAACAGAAACCACTCTTTTAGACAAAAATAATTCCTGCTAATATGAAACAAATTGGGCTTTCTGAATCACAAAAATGCTGAAACAGAAGGGTGACATAAAGCAATGTGAAACTAAGAAAAAGTAAAAGTTATATTTTTTGTGTTTGTTTTTTACACAGCTACGCTTAATCTAGGTATATCTGGCACAGGCATGCTTTTTGTGGCATCCAGTTGGTTATATTCCTGTATGAGTGCTGACAAGGATGACACAGCTTCTGTGAAACAGCTTTCTTCCATCCCTTCAACTTGTAGATAGTGATGAAGGTGAGCCTATAAATTAAAAATACCTGGATGTTTACCACTGCAGGGACTTTGATACACACAGTTATCCTATAAGGTAAATATGTTCTATTAAAACTATAGTTCATTCAGCTTTATAATGGAAACGAGAACTTGTTGTTAAATGGAATTTCTTGCCTAAATTCTATAAACTTACAAAATTTCTCATTTACAGTAATAATAGTATGAGTAAGCCTCTCCTCTTCAGTTATAATCAGTACAACAAATATAGTAAACAAGATCACTCCTGATTTGTAATAGTGTCATTCTTAAGAATACATCTTAAATAGCCAAAAAATACACAGTTACAAAGGTGTACGATAATTACCTTTTTCTTGTAGAGCCTCATGAACCTCTCTCTCAGTTCCATGAAGGTAGGCTTTACACATGTGTTATTTGCTAAAGCTAATAATGAATGAGAGTGACCCACAGGAGGTACTGAACACAGGCTGGTCTTCCAGCCTTCTTGATTCCAGGAGACAAACTGTAGAGAGGGTTTTAACCTGAGATTAAAAAAAACCCACAAAGGTAAGAACTAAGGACATTATTGATGGTATCATTCTAATTGCTTACTTTATAAACTAATTTAACTATTTTTTTACTATTAGCAGTAACATGGTGAACTAAGAGACATTTGGTAGGGGGACATTAAACTTGCTGTGATGGTGATTCAAAAAGCTAGAAATGCATTCTTTAGGATTAGAAATCCAGGGATAAAAAGAAATGAAGGCATTATAATTTTCCCTACTTTGTAATTCAGTAGAGTAGTTTTCCTAAAAATAGACCGTCACTAAATAGTAAAACAAACTTAGAAGAGGTGTAGTAGTAGTGCTGGTGGTAATAATAAAAACAACAGTATCAGCTATAATTTTATGAACACTTTCATAAAACACATATCATTTAATACTCATAAATAATAGCTTTGTATTATTAGTACTCTTATTTACACTTGAAGAAAACAAGGCACAGAGGCTAAGTAGCTGGCTCAGCGTCACACATTAATAAGTGGCATTGCAAGCATTTGAACAGAGGCAGTCTTAAGTACTGCTACACTGTCTCAAGCAGTACACATAAATTATCTTAAAACATATAAACCAAACCTTTCAATATTTCTGCGAAGATCTGAAATCTGTACATTTCCTCTAACCATGAGAGCACAGGCGAGGTAAAGACTATGTTTGGGGTCTGCCCGAATTAGCTGGTGATCTTTACTAAAGGCATCTGAAAACATTTGATCCAATCTAGAACAATGAAAGCATCATTGTTTATATAATATTACGTCTTCCTTCTATGTATAATTATAAAATGAAAAGACAGTCATCTATAGGTAAATGAACTTTATACCAAATATTATATTAATATTAGAATATATTACACATTCTAAATATATTAAATAGCCAGCTATCATTTTCTCAAAGCAATCTTGATGATAATAAATATGAGAAGAGAAGAAATCATATAATATCTTTTTTGGGGAAAAAAAGCTTCTGCAGTAGATTGGTGATTTCAGGTAAGTACAAAATGTTGACTGTAGCATATTAGTGAGCTCTATGTAGTACTGATTTCTGAAACCTCAATCATTACTTAATTTAGTATGCTCATCTACTTTATAGTACCTGAACTATCAAAACTAATTAAAAACCTACAACATTAAGGTGATTACTTTGTCTCTCTAAAATATTATAGCCGCTCCCCATAGCTCGCATTACCGCTTGAGCTCTCTGCCTCCTGTCAAATCAGCAGGTGGCATTAGATTCTGCATTAGGGTGAGTTGTATAATTACCTCATTATATATTATAATTAATAATAATAGAAATAAAGTGCACAATAAATGTAAATGTGCTTGAATCATCCTGAAACCATCCCCCTACTCCTGCCCGTGGAAAAACTGTCTTCCATGAAACTGGTCCCTAGTGTCAAAAAGGGTGGGGACTGCTGCTATAAAAGATGAAACTGTGTAGTATGTTCCTGAATGGAGAGACTTAACAAAAGTCTTTTAACTGAAGGGTAAAAACACAAATACAAGATTGTTTTACCCTTCAGTTAAAGAGAGGAAGATAAAGGTGACTGACAAAGTTTATATCTAATAACACACAGACTCCTAGGTACTTAATATGGCCCCAGTTTGGTTCTTTTTTTTTTTTTTTGAGACAGAGTCTCACTGTGTTGCCCAGGCTAGAGTACTGTGGCATCAGCCTAGCTCACAGCAACCTCAAACTCCTGGGCTTGAGTGATCCTACTGCCTCAGCCTTCTGAGTAGCTGGGACTATAGGCATGCGCCACCATGCCCAGCTAATTTTTTCTATATATTTGTAGTTGTCCAATTAATTTCTTTCTATTTTCTGTAGAGACGGGGTCTCACTCTTGTTCAGGCTGGTTTTGAACTCCTGACCTTGGGCAATCCGCCCGCCTCAGCCTCCCAGAGTGCTAGGATTACAGGCATGAGCCACTGCATCCGGCCATCCCAGTTTGGTTCTTAAATCCTATTTAACTCAATGCAAATATCACTAGGTTCCTTATAACTCTAGCCAGAGGTTTCCATGCTGAATCTGCAGAACATCTTGAAAGAACTGCAGAAATCTGTGTTATTTATCAGATATTTACAGTGCCTACTCTGTGCCAGGCACATTCCAAGTGCAAGAGACATAGCAATGAAAAGAATAAACATTTCCTGCCCTAATTGAGATGACATTGTAAACTGATTATCCTACAGAAGGAGGGATAGAGGACTTGCTGAAGTTCAGGTGAGTTTTGGGGGATTCATGAATCCTCTGCGATTATGTTCAAACTTCTGGTGAGTATGTGCTTTGGGGCATTTTTATGGAGTATTGATATTTCATCAGAGATAGAAACCCAGAAAAGATTAAGAACCACTAGGCAATGAGCAGGTAAAATCACTCCTAATTATTTTCTTGACTCATAAAATATAAAAACTAGTAAGAAACTATTTATAATTATTGGAATACTTATTTTTATTTATATATGCTTATTACTTATTTTCTTTTGGCAAAAATGTACCAAAGAACTGATCTTTGTTAACAAAATCCACAACAAGAAAAACATTCTCATTTGTTTGGAAACTACTTATAAGAAATTGAACACAGCTTTAAAACTATGCCTTTTTATACTATAATTTTAAAACAATTTATTATTTACTCAAGGATGATTGTGTCTATATGCCAATATTGCAGCCTTTGGAGTATCTACACGTACAGCAGAAGCAAAAAGCTCCCCATCAACTGCCCTACAAACATAGTAAAAACATTGTGACAAATTCTTTAAGTGTCTAAAATTTTTAAAGTTCCCTACAGATTTTCATGAACATATTTTAATTAAAAATAAGCCTTCACCACAAATTATAATTAAAATTTTAAAAAGTTGACAGGCATTATTTATATCAAAATGTACTCACTAGAATTACAAGATATTTAACAGACTTTGAAATATTCAGGTTAAAGGACCAAGTCACAACATTTTTTTCATTATGCTGAACTTAATTAGAAATTCCGTATCATTATATTTTAACAACTTGAAATACAAAGAAGTTGTCATGACTGTACAATAAACAGCTTAGCACTAATTTGCATTCTATGTGTTCACATTAAAGGTGTATGTTCTATTTCAATATACTAAAATTTAATATGCTGGGCTGATCCTAGTGGACATTCAATGATCACCATGGTCTATACACCGTCTATGCTGCTTAACTTGTTAAAGTCCCACGCAGAAATGGCATCCTATTAGCTGGCATAAGTGGTCATTTGCTACTTGCTCAAATGAAACCTTGTCAGTATCATGTGACATTCCTGAAGTATAGAATTATCTTGACAAAACTTTATAAAAATAAATCTTTAGTTTTCACATTCTTGTTTATACACTCTCCCTTTACAGAGTTTGTCAGGACCTTTTCCTCAGTCAACTGTGTGAACTTTTCAAGCTCATCCTAACTATATATGCTAAGAGTGTCTTTCAAAACCATTTTCTATTAAATTGATATAAACTTTATGCTCAAAAATGACACACATTTTTAAAACACAGTGTTCTGGAAATGATATATAATAGCTACGATAGAGATTTACATCTGAAAGCCTTCTATGGTGTCGGGCTATGATAAGAACTTTAAAACACAGTCTTATTTAATCTATCCAATAAGCAAAAAACTAAGATGAAAAATTTAAGTTACCGGCCCAAGGTCCTATAGCTACTAAATGACAGAATTGAGATTCAAACTTAAGTTGTCAGACTTCAAGGCATTTAATCTTTTTCAATAAATATTAAATCTTTATTTTCATAAGCCTATAGGTTTAATTATTAGATTTAATTTCAAATAGTTTGATACTGACATTTTAAAACACTTCTAAGTAAAGAAGTATGCATCTAATGGAAAAATGCTGTCATCAACTGTATTTTATCATTTCTCACAAATAAAATGATACAAAGAAATAACTATAGTTATGGCAAACTTCTTTCTCTTAAAAAATTTTTTTTACAGTAATTCAAGTTCTCAAAAAAACTGAAATAAACTTACTTCTTACCTTCGAGGAGGAATATTAACATCTGCCAGTGTATATAGAGGAGTTAGGCTTGACACAAGATAATGAAGTTGAGGAAAAGGAACTAAATTCATGCTGATTTCATTAAGGTCCATATTAAGGGATCCTTCAAATCTTGCAGAGCTAAAAAATTAACATTAAAACAATGAGAAAAATTTTAATTTTAAAAACTATATACCTCGAATGCAGCTTGATTTATTCAGCAGGCAGTTTCTCAAATCCTTTTGTATACTTCCTCAATGCAGAATATATGCTTTTTTCTGTATTAGTGAAATTCAGTATCATGAACAATCATGTATAAAGATAATTAAAATATAATACACATCTACAGTAACTCTTTCTTCTGTATTATCTAAAGTGTGACCAACATACTATTATAATTGTTCATTGCACATATAAAATATTCTTATTAAAAACAGACTTTATTATCTGAGGTAAACACATATAGATCAATAATTAATTATTCCAGAAACTTTACTAAATTCCTCAAGGGTCTGTTTAATACACTCTATAATTTGGAATATAAAAATGCCAAAGCAATCTCTGATACCAAAGTCATGGAAATCTTTTGGACCAGCTCAAGAGGAGCTATATATTTGCTAGCTTAAAAGATCAAGATATTCAACAGCAAAAAAATGTTTAATTTTGTTTAACCAAGTGTTTTACAAGTGTGTGTACTGCAAAATCTTTTATATTACATGACACCTGTTAATATTCCATGGAATGTACTTGGGGAAATGTTGCTTTGGATTCATAGAAATTAAAATTCTGCTTTTCCACTCCAGCAGATGAAACTACAGGAAGAAATAAACAAAAAACCCCCACAAAAACAAAAAGAAGCTCCTATAACTTAGAAAAACTAAAAATGCTACTACAAAAATTCAAAACATCATCAATAGCACAGTTTTTTGACTACCATAGATAGAATTACCTTGTTAGGTTGAGCAGCAAATTTGCCACAATGTTGTTCATTGCATCAAAGGGCTTCTTCTGCTGCTTTTTTAAAGCCCCAGCACTTGAAGTAACCAGACTCTTTGGCTTCACAGTTGTATCCAACTTTCCAGAATTCACCACAAAGTCAATTTTGCTAATGATGTCAAATAAAGACTTTTGAGGAAAAAATATTGGGAGAGAAGCTATTAAGGACAGTGGACGTATATGATATTTTACTAGGAAAGAAAGAGAAAGAATAACAATTTAAACTTATTTTTTCTTAGATAAGAAGGCTGAAAAGTGAAGAGAATGTTTCATAAAAACACAAGTGATTGAACACATATAAAATTTGTCTGTAAGTTCCAATGTCATTTCTTACTTGATTGTCAATGGGCAACACACAGTCTGCATGTTCATTAAGTTCCTTCATTGCCAAGATGCTATTATAAGGTGAGGTTATGACATCATCCTCACTGGAAGGATAAATTGAAGTCACAAATCTGTACACTTCTGGGAATTCATCTTCAAGCACCTTTAAAAGAAATGTGCCAAGTCCAGATCCTGTTCCTAAAAGAAAAAAAAAGCACAAATGATTCGGAATATAATTGGGATGAACTTGGAATTTTATGTTTTATTTGTAGACATAATTTTCAACTTATTTCTGTCATTATATATAAACTAAACTAATTTCAGATAAGAAAATGAAGACAACATGGGTAGTGAGGTCTAAAGTTCTGAATTCCATTTCTGGCTCTGATAATGAATTTCAGAGGGCTTTGTATATTTCACTTTTTCATGTTTAAGTTATAGCTATAAGATGCCACAAGAACTTATTGAACAGTAGAAAATTCAACTAAAACAGTACTCAGTCTACACTTGATATAAAGCATCTTAAAAAAATCTAACTTGACAACTTTGGTATAGTATATATACAATCTTAATGATGAAGAAAACTATCAAGACTGAGTTAAAATTATTTAAAATTAAGCATGTCTATCTTGGAGTTACAAAATTTTCAAATACCTATTTAAAAGCAGAAACTATAGAAATCTCATTAAAGATAACGTTCTGATACATAAAAATTTAGAAATTTAGGCCGGGCGCTGTGGCTCACGCCTGTAATCCTAGCTCTTGGGAGGCTGAGGCGGGCGGATTGCTCAAGGTCAGGAGTTCAAAACCAGCCTGAGCAAGAGCGAGACCCCGTCTCTACTATAAATAGAAAGAAATTAATTGGCCAACTGATATATATAAAAAAAAAAAAAATTAGCCGGGCATGGTGGCGCATGCCTGTAGTCCCAGCTACTCGGGAGGCTGAGGCAGAAGGATCACTCAAGCCCAGGAGTTTGAGGTTGCTGTGAGCTAGGCTGACGCCACGGCACTCATTCTAGCCTGGGCAACAAAGTAAGACTCTGTCTCAAAAAAAAAAAAAAAAAAAAAAAAAATTTAGAAATTTTTAAGAACTTTTAAGTGAGAGATGGAACCTTCTAACCTTTTTTTTCCCCAAACTGGGTTGTCAACCACTAGTGGGCTATGAAACTAATTATCAGATTACTGCTAGTATTTTCTCTTCTTAAATGAAGTAATAGAAAATATCAAGGTGTCACATGTAGTTGGATAATGTTTCCTAAATCTTTTGTTTCAGTGCGTGTGTGTGCATGTGTGTGCACATAGCTGCATTGTAACATAAAATCTATTTCTTACTATTCTGGTTAACCAAAAGGTTAAAAGCCAATGCTCTAATCCATGTGGATAAATATTAAAAGGCTAGGATGCTAAAAATACTAGAAGAAAATGAGGTAAATTTTTTTGGGTAATCTTAAATGAGAAGGATTATAGAAAAGACAGTTTTGATTTCATAAAAATAAACAAAACTTCTATATATGTTAGGGAAAAAAGCCCCATAAGCAAAACAACAAGACAAACTAAAAAAAATCTTCAACATATATGATGGAGGACTAAATTTCTTTAAGAGTTCTCACAAAACAACAACCAAAAAATTACGAATGCAATTGAAAATTGGCCAAAGGATAGAAATATGTAACATAATAAAAGAAACACAAATGCCAAATAGAAGTGATGTTCAACATTACTTCTAGTTAAAGAAATGCAAATTAAAACAAGATATAATTTTGAACATATCAGACAGATTTACATTTCATAATTCTCAGTGTTGGTGACAGTGTAGGGAAATGTAAACTCTTATACTGTTGCCAATGGTGTGCATTGGTGCAATATTGTAGGAAGGTATATTAGAATATCAATCAAAATTTAAAATGTACATGTTCTTTGGTTCCATCTTCTTTTCTAGGAAGATTGCCTATAGCTATAAATAGCACAAATGCACAGAGATTTATGTACCAGATATACACTGGGAATTGTCTGTAATAACTAAACACCATAAACAACGTCCATCAATAAGAAACTGACTTAAAAATTATTACATATATTTTAAAATTTATAGTAATATTAAATATAAAGCATTGCATTATATATTATATACAATTGATTGTATGAGAGGGAATGATAGGAAAAGATGTTTGAGAAAGATATAAAGTGAAAAAATTACAGAATAACTTGTATGATTTCATTTACGTGAAAATATACACACATACTTTCACAGGATATTTTCATAGACAGAAAATATCTGGAAAGATAGACATAAAAAACCCCTGCAAACTTGATTATCTGTGAGAAGAGGGACTTGGGATTAGATGTGGGAAAGAACTTTAACCTTCAGTATAATTTAAATTATTTCTGCCACCTTCAGTGAATTTTAAGTATATTCGTCTGAGATGTTGGGTAACGAAGGGATTAAATAGAAAGGTACCATAATGAATTATATGGTTATAAAATCAATGGTTTTCTTTTGAAAACTTAGTAAAATTTGAAAGTTAATTATACTACTACAAAGACAAGTTTGTTTCTCAATTAAATGATTATGATTGTTTTCTAAAGGCATTGTTACAGAGCAATTGTAACTAATTTTAAAATGCTATATCAATGAATAACAGATAGGTATGTATAAAAATCAATTGTACATGACCTGCTGAATATACAATCTTAATCTCAGCTTAGAGAAAAAAAAGTATGGCAATTTTTTTCTTTTAAAATTTGCTAATCCTACTTTAAAATTAGCAAATTATATTCTGTTTCTATTTCATAAAACAGGGGAACAAAATACTTTACTTCTAAGTACAGGCATCCTTTAGAAAGGAAAGCAATGCAGATCATTTATTTCTAATACAAGTTGGTTAATTACCATGTAAGAAAAGATTTAAAGGAATTAACTGAGTTTCCTTTATCCTTTTTTCTTTTACTGGAGACAAGAAAGGTTTAAAGGTGGTTAAAGAAAGGTTATTGATATACTTTGGCAAGCACATACATGAGCATGCCAGAAACACTTAGAAAACAGGACTGAACAAGCAAAGTCTGAGGAGAAAGTAAGCATTCTTCAAAAGCTCATATATCCTAAAGTGTTGCTAAAAAGTTTGAGATTTCCAATATACCCACTCTTAAGAGGGCTTAAATTAAATTAGTAATAGTGACACAATTTCACAAAATTTTAAGATAAAAAGATGTATGTACATACATTCAAACACATAAACATTGAATAGTTCTATCTTCATCAGGCATAGGTCTAAAAACAAAACTTATTCTTACAAAATGAATTCCCACTTATACTTTAACATTGTTATAGGCAAATGAGTGAATAACTTACCTCCTCCCATGGAATGTATTATAAAGAAACACTGCAAGCAATCACAGTGCTCTGCTGACTTTCTCAGTTTCTCTAAAGTCTGTTCTTGATAAAGACTACCAAAAACCTTGTGACCCACAGCCCTGAAAATAAAAATACAGATTAAAAAAGCCCTGGCATTTTGATTTTATTATTTCTGATCTGAATAAAAAAATTATAAAAAATGTGAAAAAGTATATTTATTGCACCAAGTAAAATCTATTCTTGTTTCATGTAAATAAATGTTATAATATCCTGAAGATACTCGATAGAAAATTTAACAAATATTCTATATATATAATCTTCAAATATCTTGATAAGACAGATCATTAGCAATGGCTATCAAACTATGGCTTTCTAAATTTATCTTCTTAACCTTTCTCTTAAGGTACAATAACAATAAAACAAGATTTCAGTTACATAGTTTTTTCTTGTCTCTATTTAAAATAAACTCTGAACTGCAGTGGATTTTACATGTTATTAATAAAAAAAAGATGGGGAAAGATGGCTGACCAGAGGCACCAGCTGCCAGAGTGTCTTAGTAGGAAGAATAGGTTTCAGATGAAAGAGGAAAAAAACCAAACAGATAAACATAGATAGGGTATAATTCTGAGGGAGGAGTGCCAGAACCTGTGGGGGACTCCATGGGAAGAAGTTGCAGAGCAGAATAAGGAGGAGCAAGATACTGGTGGAGACCAACCCCTGAGAGGCTTGGAGTAGTTATCAGACTGGCCAAAATCAACATGAAGGGGAAACACCAGCAAGCCCTAGATGAAAACATCAAGTGACTTACAAAGGACAACCCATCAGGTGAAACTGCAGACTTCTCAACAGGCTAACTACAAGCCAGAAGGGATTGGAGTCCCATCTTTAGTCTTCTTAAACAGAACAACTTCCAGCCTAGAATTTTGTATCTTGCAAAACTAAATTTCATACATGAAGGAGAAATAAAGACTTTTCCAGACAAGCAAACACTGAGGGAATCTGTCAAGATCAGAAATACCCTGCAGGAAATACTCAGAACTGCATTATACATGGATCAGCACATGGTCACCCATCAGTGTAAAACTACCCAAAAGCTAAAGCTCAGAGCTCATATACAACAACAAGAGGTAAAACAAAGCAATAAGGTACTACCCAACAGAATGAACAGAACAGTATCCCACGTATCAATTCTATCAATCAACGTGGTTTGAATTCCCCATGCAAGAGACACAGGCTAGCTGAATGGATTAAAAAATACAAGCCAAGTATCTGCTGTCTCCATGAAACACATCTAACCCACAAGGATTCATAGATTCAAGGTGAAGGGAGGAAAAAAAATAGTCCTTGGAAATGGAAATCAAAATAAAGCAGGTATAGCCATTTTCACATCAGATAAAATCGACTTTAAATAAAAAATAGTAAAGAAAAAGAAGGTCATTATAAATGGTAAAGGGAGCAATTCAATAAGAAGCCAATAACAATCCTAAATATTAATATTTATGCACCTAACACAGGAGCACCCAGATTCATAAAGCAAACCCTACTAAATCTAAGCAAAGTGATAAAGAGCAGCATCATAATTTCTAGGGACTTCAACACCCCACTGACTGATTTGGACAGATCATCCAAGCAGAAAATAAACAAACATTGGACTTAAATGGAACTCTAGAATGGGCCTAACAGACATTTGCAGAACATTTTACCCCTAAACTACTGAATATACATTCTTTACATCAGCATATGGAGCATTCTCCAAGACATTATATTTTATGCCACAAAACATGGCTCGACAAATTAAAAAAAATAGAAATCATATCATGTACAGTCTGTCCAGAAAATATCCAGCCACATAATATGAAAAACAGAGACATTTATTGAAGAAGATACAAGATACAAGAAACATTGTACACAGGACAATGACGTCTCAGTCCTCTTCAAGATAGACACCTTGGGACCTCACACAGTTTTCCCGGCATCTCTTAACCTAACTCGTAAACATTCAATATTCACAGGTGTTCTGCTTGTTGCGGGCCTTCCAGAACACAATCACTTTGAACAGATTCTCAACCATCTTTGAAGAATTTGTGTCACACTTTTATTTACACTGCACTCATTGCCTTGTCCCCAAAAGTCTTCTGAATCATTCAAGTAGTTTCCGTAGAAGAATGGTCAAGCTTAAAATAAAACTTGATGTAGATTCATTGCTCTACGTGACCACCACACAGTACACATGCTCACTCAACATCTAATGACCCACTGACTAGTACAGTGAAGTCATCATTGTTCATGCATGTGCATTACAGTCCACTCTCCTTGGCTGCCAATTGACATCAATGTTGTGCAAACCATTGTATTAACAATGGCTGGATACTTTCTGGACAGACCTCATATCTTATCAGACCACAGTGGAATAAAAGTAGAAATCAACTCCAAGAGAAACACTCAATTCTACACAAAGTCATGAAAATTAAACCTGCTGCTGAACAATTATTGGATCAACAATGAAATTAAGATGGAAATTAAAAGATTCCTCGAACTGAATGACAGAAGGGACACAAAATATCAAAATCTATGGGATTCACAGCAAAAGCAGTCCTAAGGGGAAAATTCATAACTCTAAAGGACTGCAACAAAAAGACAGATCACAAATTAGCAATCTAATGACATGTCTCAATGAACTATTAATAGAAAAGGAAGAACAAACCAATCTTAAACCCAGCAGAAGAAAAGAAATGACTAAGGTCAGAGAAGAACTAAACAAAATGGAAAACAAAATAAATAAAACACAAAAAAACCAAAAAACAAAGGATCAATAAAACAAAGTTGGTACTTTGAAAAGATAAAATTGATAGACTTCTTGTTAGACTGACCAGGAACAGAAGAGAAAGGACCCAAATAAGCTCAATCAGAAATGAAAAAGGAGATATTACAACTTATACCACAAAATACAAAATATCTGTGAATATTGTGAAAATCTCTCTGCATATAAACTCGGAAATGTAGAGGAAATAGACAAATTCCTGGAAACATACAACCTCCCAAGACTCAATCAGTAAGAAACAGAACTCCTGAATAGACCAATAATAAGCAATGAGATTAAAGCAGTAATAAAAAATCTTCCAAAAAAAAAAAAAAGCCCCAGCAGAGTTTGATCAGATCTATAAAGAAGAGTTGGTACCCATAGGACAGAAATTATTCCATAACATTGAAAAGGAGAGAATCCTCCCCAACTCATTCTACAAAGCCAGTGCCACCTTGATACCAAAACCAGGAAAAAACACAGCAAAAAAGGAAACTACACACCAAAATCCCTTATGAATATAGATGCAAAAAAACCTCAATAAAATACTAGTAAACTGAATGAACATCAAAAAAATAATCCACCATGACCAACTGGGCTTCATCCCAAGGATGCAAGGATGGTTCAACATACATCAACTGATAAAAGTGATTCACCACATAAACAGAAGCAAAAACAAAGATCATATAATCATCACAAGAGATGCAGAAAAATCATTCAACAAAATTCAGCATGCTTTCATGATAAAAACCCTCAACAAACTAGGCATAGAAGGAACATAACCCCAAATTATGAAAGCCATACATGACAAACCCACAGCCAGCATCAAACTGAATAGGGAATGTTGAAAGCATTCCTATGAAGAACTGCAACAAAACAAGCATGCCCACTGTCAGCAATTCTATTCAACATAGTCCTGGAAGTCCTAGCCAGAGCAATCAGGCATGAGAAGGAAATTAATGGTATCCAAATTGGGAAAGAGGAGATCAAACTAACACTTTTTGCTGACAATAGGATCTTATATCTACAAAACCCCAAAGATTCCACCAAGAGTCTCCTGGAATTGATAAACTCAGCAAAGTCTCAGGTTATAAAATCAACATACACAAACCAGTAGCATTCCTATACACCAATAATAGTCAAGCTGAGAGTCAAATCAAAGACTCAATACCATTCACAATTGCTACCAAGATAATAAAATACCTAGGAATATACTTAACCAAGGAGGTGAAAGATCTCTACAAGGAGAACTACAAAACACTGAGGAGAGGAAATCGTGGATGATGCAAACAAATGGAACACATATCATGCTCATTGATCAGTAGATTCAACATTATTAAAATATCCATACTTCTCAAAGTGATTTACAGATTCAAAATACCATCATATTTCACAGATCTAGAAAAAGTAATTCTAAGCTTCAGTTGGAACCCGAAAAGAACCCAAATAGCCAAAGCAATCTTAAGCAAAAAGAACAAATCAGGAGGCATCACACTGCCAGACTTCAAACTATACTACAAAGATATAGTAACCAAAACAGCATGGTATTGGCACAAAAACAGAGACAGAGATCAACAGAATAGAAAACCCACACTTAAAATCATACACATAGAGTCCATTGATCTTTGACAAAGCAGACAATAATATACACTGGGGAAAAGAATCCCTATTCAATAAATGGTGCTGGGGAAATTGGATAGCGTGCAAATAGTTAAAATAATGAATATGAGATTTGCAAATAACAAGGAGCTATTAAAGTTTTAAAAAATAGCAAAAACAGTCTCAATGTGAATTCTTAAATAATCCCTGTTGGAGTTTTATTTTTCCTCATTAAAGAGAAGAGACCACAATATATTTAAGGGCCAAAACATCCTCAGACTCAGCTTGAATACTAGTACACTGGTCCGGCTTACATCTCTGTGTTAATTCTATTAAATCTGACCAATTGGTGAACCTGAAAGAGTCAAATAATATAGGTAAGAGAATAGTTTATAAAAGTACTTAAAACTTTTGTCACTATTTAGTGTTAATTAAGAATCAATTTACAAAGAGTTCAGTAAAGTAATTTTTCATGATTCATCTTTTCCTTAAAAAAAGGTAAGAAGAAACTAGGAGTAAGACTAAATACAGTGGCTCCTAAGCACTGTGAAACACCATCATTTATTAAAGAAAAGATGATGGGCAGAAAGCCCTAGCTTTGTGTGGCAAATTATATCCTGTTTTCATATCAGTAGGACCTATCAGAATGAAGACTACTCATTTTTTTAGATGACCTTCAATTTTACATTCAGCATATTCTTACCAGTTATTTCCTGAGCCAGAAATATCAGTGATGAGCTGCTTGCTATCAAACACATCTCTCAATGGTCCTTGCAGAATTTCATTCACTACCCCTTCTTCCATATCAATCAAGACAGCCTGAGAAAGAGAATTTAATATAATTTAATATAATTTAATTGCTATATTTCCTTTTATTCACTCTGTAAATGAAATTATGAGCTAAAAGTTACATTTTTTAATAGTTTAAGCTTAATCAAAATATTTATGTAGAATCTGTTGTAAGAATTAAAAAATAATTTCCCCCTGCTTGAAAGGTGGAATCCAATTAAAAGAAGAATTTGAAACTCTTTTATTCTACTCCAAAATGCCAAGTGGGGAGACAAAAGGAAGCAAGCCACTTAACTGAATTTTTAACAAAGTCTCAGAAATCTAGAAGGTAATCTTAACTAGAAAAAGGCCTCAATAAATGTAGGATGCATTCATGCATTTGCTCACCATGGTGTTCTTTATGAATCAAAGCCAAAAACTGTCCAATTCAAATGGGCAAACTGAACTATTATATGCAAAGTAGAGGCACTGGATAGATGTCAAAGATCATAACATGGCCCCTTTTCTCAAGTAATTCACAATCTAATTCATTACCACAAACTTAATTGACATTAGAGAAAACCCACTCTACTAAGAAGAAAATGAGACTATAAAACAAAATTAATTATGCAAAGAAAAAGATAGAAAAAAAGATGAAGGAAATAGAGCAAAATGTAAGTAGGGATAGCTTGGCAGTAGTATTATACGCTCCCTCCTTTCACTTCTTTGTACTTTACTGTCCATATATTCTACAGTGAGAATGAAGAGTGAAAAAGTAAAATAAGTAGAGTTAAATAAAAGAGCAAGGCTGAAAAAAATTCTGAAATAACCTAGGGTACACTATAATTTGATTTGTTAACTCTTTGATTCAGCATGGCAGAGAAGTGCTTGGTTTATGGGTTTTAGTTTTGTGCCCATATAACATTAAGCAGTTACTACATGTCACTGTTCTAGATGCTTTATATGTATCCTACTCTTTAATCCTTATTACTCTATGTATAGGTACTACCATCCCTATTTTACATATGAGGAAACTGAGGCCTAGAAAATTGAAATAACTTGGTTATGATTACTCAGCTAGTAAGTGGTAGAGTTGAGATTCAAACATAGCTAGCCTAGCTGCAGAATGTTCACTCTTAACCACCAAACTCTATGTCCTATCTAATTGAAGGAAGATAGTCACGTTTAATTATTTATAGAGTACTGACTACAATGGAGTTACAATTTATGCACATTTAAATTTTATGAATTTAATTATATGTATAATTAACTGTTACTTACTACAAGATATACAATTAAAATATAGCAGTATATTACAAACACTATAAAACTGTTTTACAAATGTGCTCCTTTATATACAGCAATCATTATATATTAATATATACTTTACATACACAGGATTGTATAGGGTTATATATTGGCAATTTTAGGGATTTTTAAGGATACTTCTGACAATATGCATTTTTTACCTTAAATGCTCACTTTAACACCTAACCAAAGAGGGACTTCAGTGTATGGGAAAATTATATCACTACAAGTTGTGTAAGATTTAAGAAAAAATTAGCTTATACTGGCCTTGTTCTAAAACAGATTTATTGAAATGACTTGTGGAAGATTAAATGTACATAAATCACACCCTCCACTAACTATCTGGCAAAGGAAACAGTATGCAGAATACAAACTGATATTCAGGTACCTCCTGAGGTGAGTTTTAAAGCAACATCACTGTCCTAGTCATTCTGCATTAAATCCCTGACATAACATATAACTTTTCCAGTCCTTCCTTGGTCACATCAGGCCCTTGCTTTCCTTTGGAAATTAAGTAAACCTTGGAAGAATATTGTGGGTTCCTCACTTAGGCATCCATGGTCACAATTGTACCAGGATTTGATGTTTGTATTTTCTTCCACAAAGCTAACTGGTGATAGCTTTCTAGCTTTCCCCTAATTGTAATATAGGATTTACAAAATTCTGAGTATTTGCCTATTAACCTAAGAAACTGAACATGGTAGAGGGACTCAAGGACCAAATTATCTTATAAAGCCTGGATTCTTTGGTTCCTAAGGAGAAAATGGAAGAGTATCTTCTTGGACAAAAAGTCAAAGGCTACAGAAATACACCCATTTCTTCTTTCTTAGTAGTGTTTCCTCCAAATCTCACTCTGCTCACTGAAATGGTGATAGGAAAGAGCTGAAATTGAGAGTAGTCTAGGAAATGTCAAGTCTCTTTGTCTTAAGATTTGGATTGGTACGACAGCTCTATGTCATGGAGTACACTGTGTTAACTAATTATGCTATCAGCCTACAAGGTCTCTGCCCTAAATTTTGTTTTCCAAGGATATCAGAGATCACAGATACAAGGAGATACTTCCCAGGGGCCACAACACTATTGCTCTCCAATTATTCAGCCACTATACCAGGTCTGATCCTTAGCATTTCAATTTCTTCCACAGCATTTAATCTACTATGACTTCTTGTTTAGTCAAAGATTACCAATTAATAACCTAAAGAAGTAGTTTGTTGTAGAGAAACAATCACAGAAGATAATTGCTGGAATGAGATAAGACTTTAACTATGAGCTATCAATTTAAAACATTTTGTTCAGGAGAATGTACATGGTTATGATATGTATTCACTATAATGTGGCTGGGTGCATGCTTTGCATTGGTAGTAACCCTGATGCAAATAAATCTTCCACTACCTTTAAATGAAACATTAAACTATATTAGTATGTATTGCAGGTCCTTAGCATTAAGATGGCTCCTTTTGTTACCATTTATCTAGACATCTATTTACCCCAAAAACATTTTTAAAAAATGCTAAATATACAGTGTTTTTACCTTAAGTATGAAATTTTCCCCCTAATGTTTTAGGTGGACACACATGTCTGCTTAGTTATATTTACAGCATATGTGGCTTAGTAAATTTTTTTGAATTTGAGAAGTTAAAATTTGTCATGATAGTTTCAGAGAATAGTTACTTTAAAAACACATCTAACTTAAGAATCCAAGCATATATATCTTACTCGTGCTTTTAAAGAGCATATTTTCCCCTTGGAAATAGTGCCACCATCACCAGTCACTCTGAAACAAAAAAATGAGAAAAGGTCATAAGATCTTCCATTGCTTATAGTGTTACCAGGTAACAAAGTTAACTTCCATTTATGTAATAAGACTGTTTATGGGCAAGGCGAGGCAGACACAACAGCCATCCCTAAACTCCTCCTTTCTGGCTTACTTCCTGTTAGGCTAAAAAAGTGAGGCACTTTTTTTCCTGTCTTTCTTTATAGTTAGGACTGGCTCTGTAATCCAATTCTACCCAATGAGATAAAGGAAAAGTATTTTGGGAAGCTTTTCTGATAAAAAGAACCAGATGTAGTTAGTGCCAACCTTCTTCCTTTTTCCTGCCTCAAATATGAATAGGGACGTGATTTCTGGAAAAGAGACTACCATTTTATAGTCATGAAGTAAAAACATGAGGACAAAAAGCCTATATACTAAGGAGGGCAGAACAATATATAGTATCTAAGTCTTTGAGGCATTCCCCCAAACCTAGAACATTTAATTTCCAGATTTCTCTGTCTGTAAGATAAATGGACACCTTTATTGCTTAAGTCGCTATTAATGAGGTTTCCTGTCCCAGCCAAACACATCAACTGATATACCAGTTACATATCACTGAGTATCTAATACTGTTTCTAGAATTTCATGTTATCCAAGTACTGAAATGTACAAATAAACACAGTATCTGCATCGATAAAAACAATTCACAAGATGACAATATATGAAGGGAAGCCTAGTTAGACACAGATGATATGACAGATCAGGGGTTAGTAAACTACAGTCCTTATGCCAAATTCAACTAGCCACCTGTTTTCCTAAATAAAGTTTTATTCAAATATACCTATACCCATTCATTCACGTACTATCTATGCCTGCATTCATGCTATAAGGGCAGAGTCAAGTAGCTGTGAAACAGACCTTATGGTTTGCAAAACCTAAATATTTACTATCTAGTCCTTCACAGAAAAGGGTTGCTCACTCCTGCTATAGGTAAATACCTATCATGCTATTAAACATGTATAATAGTTTGATAAGGTGTACACGAAGATGTGGTCTCATTTTTGAAAAAGATTTTTCATACTAACTTGTGGAACAGATGCTGCATGTGTTGATAATACACAGAGAGAAGAGCAAGACACCACATCCCTTCTTCCCAAACTTGAAAAGAAAGTAAGGATGCTCTCAGGTTAAAGTATAAAACAGAGTAGATGAGAGTATAGTCATGTTAAGTCATTTTATTAAGAAAAGCTCCCAGGCTGAGTCTCAAATACCTAATACTCAATGAAAAGTTGGCTATCAAGAAAGGAAGAGGCGAGCATAAAAACCTAGGAAGGGTAGCACCTGAAAGGAAGTATTACAAAGGCAAATTTGAGTCTTCTAATAGTATACAGAGGTGAGGATATTTTGGGCCACAAATAAAAGGGAATCTAATCTAGATGACAGATTAGTACATACAATAAAGATAAATGACACCAGTCATTAAGGTAATAACTCTAACTTTCCTTGGTCTGATTCCATGGTCACCAAGCAACCTTCTGATTATTATGTAGCTTTTCACGTAGATTTCCTACTAAAGATAATGTGCTTATGATGGAAAATGAGAATCTGGTTTTTGGTTAACACGACTGCACTGGACAGTACTAGATCTATTTTCAAAGTGCCAATAACATTTCTGGGTTTCCAAGCTTGAGCACTAGACTCTGGAACTCACAGAGGAAGTAGGCACTAATTAACATTCCCCAGATGGTAACTGCTCAAACACCCAGCCAAGTAATTCCAACTAAAACTGGAATTTCTATCGAATTAGATCAAAGCCTGATATTAAGTATATACTTTTCAGTTCAAGGCCACCACAGTTAGTTTTACCAAGTATTTTGAAAATGTATGAACTTAATAATTTAATATTAAAAGCATACGGACATACCTGAATGTCAACTTATTCTTTCAGATAAAAGATACATAGTACTTACATATACCCCTTATTAAATAAACGAAAACAATCTGACAACTGCTTTTCTTCTTTTTAAGCACATTCTATACTTATTCCTGACCACAGATATCAGAGAAATGTAAACAATATATTTTTCTTTCAAAAGTTAGCCATTACTGGATGCATTAACAAGATACCCTCATGGAAAATTTCAGCTTTTCCTTAGTGAAACTTTAGTTAAACTAAAGTGAAAACTTTCAAGTTAAAAAAAGTTACACCACAGGGACACCTATTGTCCTGTTCTGTAAGATGATGTAAGAATATTAATAATATAACAAGAATAAATATGCTTATATAAATATGAGAAAAATAAAAAAGCCAGACAACTTCCCAGCTATTGGCTGTTTTTATTGTCCTTTGAAGAATTCTCTCCCAATCTGTTGAAAAGGATCATCATGTTCTGTAATAGATTTTAATCCCATCTTACCTTGTATCCACATTTCTAAAAAAGCTGCTTATTGCCTCATCATAAATTCCTTTCTAAAAAGAAAACAAATATAGCATTTAAGTTTTGCCTCTTTCCCAATGGAGTCCTCTCAATTTTAATAATCCTACCATGGCTAGTATGTGGCTAAGACAAGAAACAGCAAACTATCACAAAATGCTTAGTCTGATTCTTCCAATCTCTTTCCAGAGGAGAGTAAATGTCATGAGATAAAGTTCAGCAGGGGGTGCTGAAAAAAAGAGTCTTCGTAGGATTGTAGAACAGGCGCATCAAATGAGCGTTTTCTCCGGATTCTTAGTGATTATTTAAAAAGCTAACTGGTTAAATTAAGGAATACAATAACCACACGTGTTATCTATTTTTCAAAGTACTTTCACATACACTATCACACCGCTCCTCACACGAACCCTAATAAAGAGAAGACCCTGAGAATTAGGAAAAATGTTAAAACTAATCTCCCTGGTCAGCGTTCTTCTAGTTTAGTGTGTGTTTAACAGCAACATATCTTTAAAAATCAGTATGTTCTGAAAAGATCCCATGCAACTTATATCGGCCAGATAAAAGCTCAGGGTATTTTCTACTTATTTGCTGGAAGACCTCGGCTCCAAGCGTCGGCGGGGCAGGTACCTGGTTCACTGCGGCGTGCTCCCTCAGCGCCAGGTCCCAGAAGCAGCAGCCTATCTGGTTTCCGCACTGGCCGACTGCGACCAGGGGAAAGGACAGAATATAGACATTAGGCAGGAAACAAGGCCGCTGGATTATGGGACGAACAGGTCCCCATCCTCCCCGTGCAACTCACCCTGTACGACCACCGACTGGGTCATGCTGGAGCACCTCCAGCCCAGAGTGCATGCAAACCCGTACCAGCCTTCGCATTACCTTTCGCAAAACGGCGCTCTGCAAGGGGGCGGTCGTAAGTCACGCCGCTGCCGCAAATCGCTGCCGTCGCGAAGCACTTCTCTAGGTTCAGGCTGAAGTTTTTCGTCAGAAGGCCGCGCAAGTGCGCTTGCGACTCACCGTTACCATAGCGACTGGGCTTCGTGACCACAGAACCTCGCTGCCTTGTCTACCAACGTCTGTGAGCCTCGGCAGCTCCGGAGCCCGGGGTAACTGGCGGGTAACTAGGCGTTGGAGGGTTATTTTAGAATATGTGTCTCTAAACTGGCCATGGGGTATCAGAGGTTTAGTTTTCGTTCACAGTCCCAACACCCTGGGCGGTGGGTCAAATTCCGTTTACTCAAATTACAACGGGCGCTGCGTTAGCGTCTCTATCCAACAAGCCCTTTGTTCTAATGGAAAACGAACAATGTCAGTGAGCACAGAGAAACCCCAGACAAATAGACATGTCGGGGCACAACCGAAACTAGGCGGTTTTGCACTTTGACAGAAACGGTAAAGCTAAGTTTAGAGAACCGACCAGGGTTTGTTGAACCCGGCATACTCCCGACATTACCGTTAGGCCCTCTGGAGGATTCAAAAGAAATTAAGACAGAGATCCAGCTCGAATAAGCTTACAGCCTAATTGAAGACACACACAGACGAAATACTCAAAGAATTGTGACTTAAAATATTGGGTGGCATTGACTATAAGCGCAGTAGCATTCAGTGAATGAGGATGTAGACGAGTAAATAGACATCTGATAGAAGAGATGGGATTAAAACTAGGTATTTGGCCGGGCGCCGTGGCTCATGTCTGTAATCCTAGCACTCTGGGAGGCCAAGGCGGGTGGATGAGGCAGGTGGATCGTTCAAGGTCAGGATTCCGGAACCAGCCTGAGCAAGAGCAAGACCCAGTCTCTACTAAAAATAGAAAGAAATTAATTGGCCAACTTAAAATATATATATAAATTAGCCGGGCATAGTGACGCATGCCTGTAGTCCCAGCTACTCCAGAGGCTGAAGCAGAAGGATCGCTTGAGCCCAGGAGTTTGAGGTTGCTGTGAGCTAGGCAGACACCAGGGCACTCTAGCCTAGGCAACAGAGTGAGACTCTGTCACACACACACATACACACACACACACACACACACACACAAAACAAACAAACAAACAAAAAACCCAAAAAACTAGGTATTTGATGCATTTATAATGTTTAGATGGTATAGAGAAGAAGATTAAAAAGTCAGGCATTCTTGAAAATTACCAACTCCTTAATATTGTCAAACATTTAAAAATACTGTAAACTTTTATTGATCAGATTATATCAGGTTTTAATTAAGAACACAGGCACTTCTTTAATGAAAGTATATTTTCCATGAAAATTCTGAGGAACTACAAAACCCTAAGAAGTCTTATTCACTTAATAAAAAGTTAAATTGTACAGAATATGCTATTAATGTATGGTACTATGAACTGTAATATTCGATTGATTGGAACACCTAATTCCCCCACCAAGACAAATAATAGTAGTTGTTATGACATTTCTCTGATAGCTGGTAAGTTTGAAGTTTTAGTGGGTTGTTTGTGTTACATTTGATGTTATTCACCTTAGTACTGATATCTCCTATGATTAATTGGCAGCTTTTAATGAAGAGATTTTTCTGCAATTTCTGGATTTACTATTAACTGTTTATTGGTGAGGAAGGGGTCAGTGGTAGAGGTGCTGTTAGGTACTTTATGTCTTGATATTGAAGTCCCAAAGTCTGGGGCTTCCAAAATTTATAAATCTTGGTCTACTTTGTTGGCAGTGATATGAGTAGGTCTGTATCAGTAAACTATGTCGCCAGGTCACCTGGTATTCTGGCCTCTGCAGGGCTCTATTATTCCCTAGAAGCCATACATAGAAAAGGAGTTAAATTAAGAAAGTCCTGGCTGGGCAGTGGTTCACACCTGTAATGCCACCACTTTGGGAAGCTGAGGCAGGAACATTGCTTGAGGCCAGGAATTGGAGACTGGCCTGGGCAGCATAGCAAGACCCCATCTCTACAAAATAAAAATATTATTAATAGCTGAATGTGGTGGCATGTGCCTGTAGTCCTAGTTACTTGGGAGCCTGAGGTGGGAGGATTGCTTGAGCCCAGGAGTTCCAGGCTGCAGTGAGTTATGATTATATCATTACACTTCAGCCTGGGTTACAGAGACCATGTCTATAAAATAATAATAACAATAAAAAAGAAAGTCCTAATGAGCCTCATTAATAACTTTAGTCTGGAGAGAATCCGACTAGAGAAATAATTCTGCTTAAGAGACAAGCATGGTGGAACCTTACATATCAGCCACTCCAAAACCTTAGTATAGCCAAACTTAGGTTAGTCAAGTGAAGATCAGCTGAACTGCAGCAGACTGCCAGAGTCTTAAAAGCAAGAAAAATGTTTTTGGTTGAAGGCAAAACATTTGAGATTTTGGGGTATAGTTGTATTGGAGCATTAGCTGACTAACATACAGACCAAATACATTGGACAGAATTTCACATGCTAAAAATGAAAAAGAGAAAAAATCATTGAGTATCATGCAGACTACTACTATGGAAGGAAAAGTGCAAAAGATGGATAAAATATATAACCTTAATTAAAACCTAACATAAGTGTGGAGGGGGGTAGAGAAAGAAAATTCTTCATATATGTTTTGTGCTGTAGAAGAATTTAATAATAAGAATATGAATGCAATAAAACAGCAACTTGAAGACAAAATGCTAAAATAATATATCAATAATTAAGCTCTATGCGGGCTGTGTAATGCCTGTTTTGTTCACTACCATATTCCTAGTACCTAGAACCTTGCCTGGTATACAATAGGTAGTAATTAAATATTTGATGAATAAATTAAATAAAGTGAAGATAAAAGAACTAAGGAAATTAACTGAAGACCAAAATACCCACCTTAAAGGACTAATGAATAATTTTTAAAAGCATGAGGAAGCAGATTAGAGAGATCAAAATCAAATTAAGATATAAAGGAAAGGCTTGAGATAATCATGATACTGAGGCAAATGACAAAGATATTAATGTTATTAAAAAATCGTATATGTGAAGGAGACAAAGATGGCTCAACATAAGATTAATACGTGGCCCTGAAATAGAAAACAGAGCAAATGGAAGAAGAAATGTACTTAATAATGTAAAAAATAATGAAGAAGAATCTATAAATTAAAAAGGTACATTATGTTTTATGGGAAAATTTCTATAAAACTGTCAACATCAAGGGATATATCCTGGTTAGTTTATTCAATTTTCAGAATAAAGAAAGAATTCTTTAGGTACCTGGTCAAGAAACAAATAGGGGAGGGTAGGGTGGAGAAAAAACAGACTACTTTAGATTCATCTATAGCACATTTAGTACTGGAAGACATTGGAAAAAAATGCCTCAAAGTTCAGAAGGGAAAGAAAATGTGTTCAAAGAAAATTATACTTGTATCTCTTTCCAAGTTGTCATTTAAGTATAATTCAAATTTGTGGACACTCTATCCATTTTCATTCATGTTTGCACATTGCTATTGCTGAGCTCATCTCTTTCTCATGTAACTTGACAAACAGAATCAGTAGCAACCAACATGTTATCAATGATTGTTTTCTAACCTCTTCTCCTAGCATTTAAATTCAGTAGGTAAATAATTTGCTTTCTAGGTTATCACAGAGTTTTCCAAAGGTTTTCCCAATAGGTTTGTAACTGAGTAACAGATCACTATCCGTTTAGCATCCAACAATAGTTCCTTGTTGACTGCTGCTTGAGCACGTAGGTTGTGACTTAATATTTTTGGTATTTGTTATGACAGTACCTAAGTCTGAACCTACATCTGTATAAATCAGGCCGAACTTTGTTATGCTGTGGTAACAACAACAAATGTTTATTTTTTGCACATGATATAATACATGTCCATTGAGGAGTGTCTGGGCGGCTATGCTTATCTCCCCTCTGACACCCAATCTGATGATCTACCATTATTTTGTCCATTTCTGATTTATTTAATTTTAGATTGATAAATAATAATTATATATATTTATGGGGTACAATAGATGTTTTTATATATATTGACATCGTGAAATCATGAAATCAAGCTTAATAACATGTCTATCATCTTACCTACTTATCAGTTTTTGGGGTGAGAACATTTAAAATCTGTTTTTTAAAGCAATTTTGAAATATACAATACATTGTTATTAACTGTACTTACCATGCTGAGCAATAGATCTCTAAAACTTATTCCTTCTCCTGTCTAACTGAAACTGTACCCTTTGAACATCTCCTGCTATCTTCCCCCACTCCTAGCCCTGGCTCTGCTACTTTTTAGTAACTACCTTTATACTCTCTATTTTTATGATTTTGACTTTTTTAGATTGTACATGTAATTGAGCTCATATACTATTTGTCTTTCTGTGTCTGGCTAATATCACTTAGCATAATGTCTTCCCAGTTCATCCATGTTGTTACAAAAGACAGTATTTTCTTCTTCTTTTTTTTTTTTTTTTTTTTTTTTGAGACAGAGTCTCACTTTGTTGTCCAGGCTAGAGTGAGTGCTGTGGCGTCAGCCTAGCTCACAGCAACCTCAAACTCCTGGGCTCGAGCGATCCTTCTGCCTCAGCCTCCCGAGCTGGGACTACAGGCATGCGCCACCACGCCCGGCTAATTTTTTATATATATATCAGTTGGCCAATTAATTTCTTTCTATTTATAGTAGAGATGGGGTCTTGCTCTTGCTCAGGCTGGTTTTGAACTCCTGACCTTGAGCAATCCGCCTGCCTCGGCCTCCCAAGAGCTAGGATTACAGGCGTGAGCCACCACGCCCGGCCAGTATTTTCTTCTTTTTAAAGGCCGAATAGTATTCCCTTGTGTTTATACACCATACTGTGTTTATCTGTTGATGAGTACCTAGATTGCTTTCATGTCTTAGCTGTAGTGAATAAAACTGCAATGAACATGGGTGTGCAGATATCTTTCAAAATACTGATTTCAGTTCCTTTGGGTATATACCCAGAAGTGAGATTGCTGGATCATACGGTGATTATATTTTTTAGTGGTTTGAGGAACCCCCATACTGTTTTCCATAATGGCTGTATTAATTTTCACTAAAAGTGTACAAACTTCCCTTTTTTCTACATCCTTGCCAACACTTGTTATCTTTGATCTTTTTGATAATAGGCATTCTAACAGGGGTGAGGTGATATATTTCATTATGGTTTTA